GTTGTGAAGTAGGCTATTTGGCTTCAAAGTTTGCTTGAAGACTTGAGAGTTGGTCAAAAGCACGTCTTAGTGCATTGTGACAGTCAGAGCGCTATTCACACAGCGAAAAATCAAGTATTTCATGCAAGAACGAAGCATATTGATGTTCGCTGTCACTTTGTGCGGAAGATTCTAGAAGATGAAACTGTTGTGCTGAAGAAGATCAAGACGATGGAGAATCCTACAGATATGATGACCAAGGTAGTGACAGCAGTCAAGTTTGAACATTATTTAGACTTGACCAACATTCTGCATATTTGAGTTGGCGCCGAGAGGCGCATTTGGAGGCACCGCCAGCAGTCGATTTGGATTAAAGAGTCGAAGTGGGAGCAAAATTAGTCAAGGTGGGGAATTGTTAGTTTTTTTATTAATTTGTTGTCCCACATTGGATGTATACAAAAGATGTGTAGGATCTTATTAGTATAAATAGGTCTCTTGCCTTTGGGTTATAATTTCACCTTATTCTATTTCCTCCTCTCTTAGAAGGAAATCCTTAATTAAGGAAATCCTAATTTGTGGGTTATTTAACCCTAGTTGTATTTTGTTGGTGAGTTTAGTAAATTTGGCGTTGTGGTTGGCGGTGCCCAAAGACGTAGGCAATATTTGCCGAACTCCATTATCAATTTTTGTGTTCTTTTTATTTCTCGTCTTTTATTTATTTGTGTTAGCTTATTTTCATTTGGAGTAGTGCTTGTCATATTTGTTGGAGGGATAGTTTTGTCCGCTGCGCTTAGTGTTCTACCCCAACAGCACCTGCTCCCGAAAAGCGAGACAGAGTTTGATCCAGCGTTTTCCCGTCTCTTTTCAGTCGTTATTCGTAAATCCTTGATGAAGGTATATAGCTATATCCCTTCTCTTTATTTTAGAAGATTTGAGGAATAATATTTGCTTAAGGTTCATAATATATAATCTCTTGAATTTTAGTTATGTTCTTGAGGTTGGATGTAAAGAGGATGTTGGACTCTCGTAGGATTTTGTTTAACCTCAGTCTGTACGAATGTTTATGCGAAATTTCATGCTAAGAAGCCTCGAGTTATTGCTTTTGTAAGAGAATGGTAGAAATCGATTTCAATTTTTTACCTAATGTTTCAGCCTTAAAATCCTTTTGGCCTGGACCATTATGTCATATTTGAGCTGTCGTGTATAGCCTCATAGTTTTGTAAAAATGGAGTGTTTTACGTTTTAAGAGTGTAGGAAATACCTTAGATTTAATTTGAGTAAAATGAGTTTTTGATAAAATTATTCTAGCCTATAAAATTATTGTTAGACTGGTCTTGAGTGATTGTCGATAAGCAAGGGAGTTTTCGAAAACAGACATCGCTGTGTCGGATGACAACAGTTGTAGTCGCAGTCGGCCAGCGTCCGCGTAAGACTCGTAGGCGACTCGCGTACTAGTATGTGAGGATCCCGCATGCTAGGTGCGCTGAGAACCACGAGACCTTGCGCCAGTGACCTGAGGCGCGCCCCAACTGTCTGTTTTCGAGCGCGAGCGCCCCGCAGCTCCAGACTGTCTACAATTTACCGAAGGCAAGCAAGCCAAGTCTGGCAGACCCTAATGGTAAAGTGCGTGCATTCAGTATCATAATGCACTGAACAGTCAGTAGCCAGGAGCAGTCCCTGTGCAGGCGCCGGGTCGGGCAGCAACACCAGATCGCGATCGGTGTCAGCCATTGTCGAGCGACAGAGCACTTAGCCGCAGTGGACCAAACTAGCCGCACTGAACCATTTCAAAATGAGTAGAAAATGTTTTTAAAATGTCCCGAGTTATTCTTACAAATTTTAAAAGTTATTCGAGCCTAATTTTAGAGATTTTGAGAAGAGTCTGAGTCGAGAGTTCCAACATCTAAGAAAGAGAAAGAGCTAGGTCGTGAACCTTAAGCTAGAAAATCTTTCAATATGGTAAATTAGTTTACCGAGATTAGAGTTAGAATATTTATTCGAGTATGCTTCATTTATGTAGATCCCGAGGAGTCAAGCCCTCGAGTTTCCTACCGAAGCATTCACTCATCTTTCAGCAGATTCCAGAAGTCAGGTGGGGAAGTCTATGCTTTACGGTATCCTTTATATTCTCTGTGATATTTATGCTTGTTATGTGTTTCATGAATAACACGCCTATGAGAAGGCTACGAGGACCGTGCTAAGTCGAGCCTATTAGAAGGCTGCGGAGTTGTGCTTAGACTGAGACTATTATATGATCATGCAGTGCTAAGTCGTGCCTATGAGAAGGCTGCGGAGTTGTACTGAGATGAGCTACTTATATTATTTGTGTTGCATTTTAACATTCATGGTATCTGGTAATTATATTGACTATTTGTACTGTATATGCTAAAGATGAGCACGTTGATTATTATGCTCATCCCCTACAATTTATCATTTTCAGGTTAAGGGGCTAAGCGTGGCACTTGGATGGCTGGCGGTGGTCACATTATTTATGTTTAGTTTTATTCCGCATATTTTACAAACTCTGTTCTATTTCTGAGTTGTGAACTAGATTAGAAGTTTGTTTTGAGACATTGAGTTTGCGAGTATTATGAGATTTTCAAAGTTAAGATTATGCATTATATATTTGAGTACTCTGCATTGTCTTAAGTATTTTTGGGAGTTAGTTCCCTGAGGGTCCAAGCTAGCGGTTTGGGTCAAGTTTAAGAGAAAGAAAGAATGGATGATTTTGAGTAGTAGCCCGAGAAAAGTACTTTAATTTGAAAAAGTTCAAATTATTTCTGAAAATTATTATTATTTTCTAAAGAATAGCAAGTGGGCTGTTACACACATCTTTTAATCAGCCTTTTTTTAGCCAAGACATTAAATATGAGCATGTTAGGGCTAGATCTTTCTGTGTTTTTTGGTGTTTTGTTTGTGTTTTTATGTTTGTTGTAGTTCTTTAGTTCGTGTGTTGTGTCGATGTGTTTTTTGTCTGGGCCGTTGGCCTTAGTGAACCCGAGTGTGCTTTTATTATCCTGTTGGGATTTACACTCGGGTATTACCCTGTTGGGGTCGTTATGTGGTGTATTACCCTTTTGGGGTTTGTGTGTTGTCTGTGTTTTTAGTTTATTACCCTGTTGGGGTAGGCTCTAGGCGGTCTTTGGACCTGTCCTCTCTTTTTTCAGTCGTTGGTTGTTTCTATTCAGCTGTTAGCTGTTTTGTATTCAGCCGTTGGCTTTTGCACATTTGTTCTATAAGGATTTATAGTTTGTTTAGCATACATTGCAATAAAATTATATTTTACAAGAATTTCATTATAGAAAGAAATCAAAATAAAAAAAAAATGATAAAAAAAACATGGTTGCCAATAATATACAAATAAACTCTTGAACAGTTACTATATTTCAATTTTAATTTTTGAACATTAGTAAAACTATTTAAGGTATCTGGTCATTGTCTCTTAAATGGTAAATTATATTAATTTGAAGAATAATTTATTTTTTATATATAACGAAATAAAGCTTAAGAGAAAAATATATTGGTAAAGATTAATTCACACACTTGATTTCGCCTGATTAATTGGAAGAAGAAATTCTACCTAACCTGTTACGGTTTTCTATAAATATTTTTATATAAAAAGTGAATATTTGTGAAAAAAAATTATTATTATGGTTAGAACTTAAAATATGTTGTAATATTTATCTTGACCAAAATATTATCAACATGAATCACGGAAAATCAATCATGTAATTTATTGTAATGGATATCAAGAAATTATTGCAGATATTAATAAAATTATTTAAGAAAACAATATTTTTTTATCAATGTCTGATTTGATCTTATTTGAAAACGTGTACATAGAAACAATTAATGCATATATTTAAAAAGCTACCAAAAAAAGTATGCATTAAATACTTTCAAAAATTTTGACTACTATATTTAGTAAATGGTTATTCTTATTATATATATATATATATATAGATATAGATGAATTATTTATTATTATTTTTCTTTTTGGGAAAGTGGTGATACATGGAGCTGCTTTCGTTTTATATAGGGTCATTTGTAATTTACAAGCATACCCAGGTTGTTTCCGGAAAAATGAGGTAATATTTGGGGCTAATCTAGTAAATTTACCGCCTTCAGACGGCAGCAATTAATTGGATCCAGCCTAAAACTTGAGATCCAGTAATTGTGAATCCAAGACAAAACTTATTTTCATACTAGGCCCAATCTCATCTTGCAGGCTTAGAGCATCTTTAGTGGCACAACGTCTATTTTAACATGTATGATGTGAAGAAAGGAAATAAAAATATTTTATCTACAATGGTTAACGTCAATTGTGGAACAATTTAACACATGCAATATAATAATTGGTTTAAGGAGAGAGAGATATAAAATAAATAATATAATATAGAGTATAAGATGTCTAGAAGTCTTTCTGCATATGGAAAGACTTCTAGATATTTTAAATGACACATTGAATTTTTTGGGCTATATGGAAATAGAATAGAGCAATCCATGTACCATTAGAGATGTCTTTATAACATAGCTAACAAACAACACATTCAACCCAGATTGACCTGCTAATCTTATCTAGTCTCTCATACCTTACCACATAGATAACACACAACAAATTCAACCCAGATTGGTCTTCTAATCTTATCTAGTCTCTCATAGCAAATTAGGCCTTCATGTTTCAAATTTACATTCACATACCATATCATCTTTCTTAAACAAAACAACCGAACCGCATACACACGCATATAGAATAAAAGCAAGTCATGTTTCAGCACCATCTCAGCGTGCTGTACGCTTCTTGGGGTTAGATTTGAAAAATTGAATGATAATTATCCTGATTTTATATCATATCACTACCTGAATACCACGAACTTTAATTCTATCACAATTTGGTTTACTCACAGTTGCTCAGTAGACTGTCTAAGAATCAATATTGCACTTAGGGTTAGATTTGAAGAATTGAATGAAAAATATAGTATTCCGAATTAGAAGTCCGTATCAAATGCTAAATAGAACATCTACAAGTGTAGTATAACAAGCACATGTACATTGTACAACACATCTTTGAACAAGATGAAGAACAAACACATTACAATCTTTATGCACAGATTGCCTAACTTCACCAAAGCCTGGATACACACACATCACAGTTCACGATTGCTTTGGTCTTCTAATATTTTCCCAACTAGAAAAAATCAATCTTAAAAGAGAATAAAACACAGTTTGTATACAAGTGATTAAAAAGTTCCAACAAGATGACGGCCAATACCATGGATAGAGCAATCGAAAGAAGAGACTTATCAAGTGTCGCGGGTATCGCCCAACCTGTACATAGCAGGGGTGTTACCAGAAGAGACAAACAAGATATTCGTATTTTTCAGCATATAAAATGACTGATGTTACCAAAAGTTGAAGACTTAATACAACTCCCAAATCTCCAAATATGTACATAAATGTCATAGTTCAAATATTTATCGTCAAACCATCGAAGTCTCCATTTACCATTGGTCTTTCTCTCTCTCTCTCTCTCTCTCTCTCTCTCTCTCTCTCTCTCTCTAAATTCACATAAATTGAGATTTTTTAAATCTCAACATCAGAGATCGTAGAGGAGAAGAAAAGGAGACTAGCAGGACATCTCAAATTAACATTAGCACATCAGAAAGCTTTGTTTACTAAAAATACATTTCCTTGATCTCAACAACTGCTTTCCCTGATTAACCCACATCCTTACCCCACCCCAAGAGTACAATCTTAGACAAGATATCATGAGTCTGCCTAATTACCAAGGTGAGAACCCTTTTTTTATTTATTTATCGTAAGGTGAGGTCTCTTTGATGCAAGGAGACTTGGCTTTAGATTATTTTCTCTGTTACATGAGGGATGGAGGACATAACCACTCTAAATAATAATCCTTACACCCTTACCCAGTGAACTAAGAATATGAATATATCCAAAAGTCTAGACCATACCTCACACATTTATGCGCATCAAGATATAGCTCAGTTTACTGTACAAGTCAATGAAGGACCAAATAGCTTCATGACTTTCTTACCAATCCAATGTCACTAAATTAATATCTAACGATCAATTTCATAAATTTTTATCTTAGTTTCCATCCATGATAACTTATTCCACTTATAAAACACAAAATTGAACACTAACAGAAATCTTTCAAGGTACTGATACATGGGTTTAACAGGATGGCAGATGAGAAATAGTTGATGCACATACTTTGCAATCTATCACTAGCAACTGATATGAAATGCACCATGAAGATGCAGAAGTTCAAATAACTCACAGGAAAAAGAAAGTCCAAAGCGTCCCATGCTGCATGCCGGACAGCTCTTGTAGGGTACATTGGACCACCTGGAGATGTGAAGCTATACAGGCTCGTTTTCAATCTCGTGCTAGTCGCCATTCTAAGTTCTAAGCCTGTTAAAATTACAAATAGAGTTATTGTCAGCGAGCATGTATCACATAAGGTTCAACAGTAAAGAAAAAGTTACGAAATACAGTTCATGTTGCATCAAACAGTAAAATATGAGTGGTATGTACCTCGCAGAACTTTTATCTCAGAGAGGTAATGGAGAAGGACTGGCTCCACCTTTAATTTTTGAAGCTAATAACAGAGACACCAATTTAGCACAGAAAGAAAAACATTCGCAAGATGGTACCATGAGAAAGGTAAAATTTAAACAACCAACCAAGGAAAAAGAACACTTTAAAGGTTTACCTGATCAGCTAGTTCCATGACGAATATGTCCGGGGCACCACCAATCAAGAAAGCATTTGGGAAATCAGGAAACTGCTTCAAAAAGCTATCAAGCTTGTCACCTGCAGAGTACAATCGAATCTTTTACATGAATGAGGACAACCACGAATAAGATAGTCATGCAAACACACATCCCATATATGGTTTACCAACCTGAGTTATAGAAGAAAAGGAATCTTGAGAGGAGAAGGAACAGATCTCGCTGAGCCTAACAAATAATCAGAACTGTGAGTGGTATATCATAAATGCGAACAAGGTAAGAATGAAAGAACATAATGCACCTGAAAATAGTCAACAAAATGCAAGCTATACCTGTAATGGAATCTTCTTTAGTCTTTCTGAACATAGAGCAACTTCCTCTAGGAGATACTACAACCATTGAATGATTGAAAAGAAAGTACCTTAAATTTTATATCTAAGTATCTTATGTAATACTGAAGACATTATAAAAGAGAAGTTACGAAGTGAAGAATTATCTCACCCGAAAGATACTCTGGAAACGCCTTGCATTTGTCTGGATATCAATCCTGGATGTTTTATGTACTTAAATAAGAAAAATTCCTCAATCAAATTTACAAGAAACAGAAAATGCCCCCAGTCGGCAGGTATACATCCTTATGCAGTCTAACTTGACCATTATAGATCATATCGCCATACGGAAAGATAGAAATAAAAGGACCACAATTTTGGCCTCGTTTTATTAAGATGACAGCGGTTTATGTCAAGTAAAGATCATCTTCGTCCATGGTTATTCTTTTCTTATATAGTTATATTATAATTTTGAAAAGTCGACTGATTAGTTTCTAGATGCCCACAGCTATTCTGCTCTCATAATAAACAGAAACTGGCTCTTTCCCATTGTCCCCTGTGAGAAGACATGTGAGTAAAAAGAGGAAGAGAGGGACACGGTTTTTGGCATCATGGGACCCCCGTCAAAGGCTTGCACGAGGGGCTATCCCCTGATACTAGCCTTGAAGTGGCTCGGCTGTGAGGGTTCTCAGCTACATGGATAGTTTAGTGTGTCCATCGGTGACGACCAGGACAAAGGATAACAATCCCCCGAGGGTGAGTTAACCCCTAGACCCCGTCTCCATATTTATGTCGTTGCAAAACCACCATTAAGACCAGGAACAATTTGGATTGGTATAAGCCACTGTGAATCTATCAATCAAATCATAACCAAATCCAATTGATGTCAATCTAAAACAACTTCTGAATTAGAGAAGCACTGCTCCCTTCTAGATAACTTCAAAGATAATGGGATACCCTGACTAAGCTCAACTTACATTAAAGGAAAATCTTGATTTGATACAACTTATATGAAAAGCCAACTTTTAAATTGTAAGCTAGTCATACAAGTCTAGAACTAGTTTCTCCCAGTCAAGTTTACCCATATCATCAGGGGCAATAAATGGCTTCAAGCGCGTTTCCGTCCTATGATCTTTCTATATTTAAGTCATTGCACTTAAAAGTTAGTGCAATCCCTAGTCAATTTTGTTGAAATATTACTTCACTATAATCTTTACAAGTCTCTTCTTTTCACAATATCTTGACAATCTTCTCGTATGTAGTATACCCTTCAAAATATTGCAGCCCATCTCACGAGCAATATTATAATATCTCCCCCATTTTTGCCTCTTCCTATCGCACAGGGTTCTTTCAATGTTGAGAAAGAAATAAAAAACCTCAACTGACTAATAAAATGGCATCTACCGAATATTAAGAATTTATGCCCATAAACATAATATCTTTTTCTTTAATTTGAGGGAGAAGAAACCCTAAATTGTTGGCATTAACTCTCAGGTTTATAAATACCTTTTTAACTTTTCTATGTGAATTTTTTTAGAAAACTTTCAGTATTTATTATATATGATATGCAAATGCTTAAAGAAAGTACAGGAAAAAACTAGATTTTGAACAAAATTATGCAATTTTAATTGTGCTAACTGAGGGTTAGTGTGGCAAACAGATCTTCATTCATCATGTTAACAGCAAGGTTTTTTAGAAATGCACAACTCCACCAAGACTGGAACAATAGAGGACTTGTGTTTGAAGTTAGGTGACTGAGAATGCTATTATACAGAATAAAGCACCATTAATCATTTTTAAGATGGGCCAACCCGCAGGTGCCAGAAAATGTGGTATAGAGACTATTAACTGCATATTCGGCTATAGCTTTACTAGATCAAGTAAACAACTGTGACTGCAGAGGCACTACAATTGGTCTAAAATACATAAGCCCCATAAACATTATCTCAGTATAAGAAACATGTAAAAGATTCTCACCAGAAAACATTTGTAGCACCTTCAACAAGTGCAGAAGAGTAGCGGAGTAGGACCTCAGGGTTATCAAGCTGAACCTCAAAAAGCTGAAAATGGAAGCTTACAATAAAAGATCATTGAGATGAAAAGAAAATGTTCGAATAATAAACGACAACTAACATCAGAATAAGAGTGTTGATATACAGTAAAAATGGCATATATAACGAGAAAGGGCAAAGCACAGAGAAGATAGAAGGATTCATGAAAGGGCCGTACCCCTATCCAGACAGCTAAACCAAAGAAACAAATGAATCCACCAAATTAACATTAAGACATACCCACTTGTGGAACAAGAGAGAAAATATGTTAGATGCAAATGACTGGCTCCAAAGTTGTACAATTAGATCAAGGATTGATTTCCCATTCTCGGGCATGTTAACAAAATGATCAGCAAGCACGTCGTAAAAGCATATAGGGCCCCCATATCCATGATCTTCAACAGAAATGGCACCTTCCTCACCAAAAATAATACCTGCATCAATGAAGGGAAAAAAGAATAAATTACAAGATATAGCCATATACAACAGTAAGTAATCATAATGTGATTGTTCCTCAGGTCAACATTACAATACACTAAACGTAACCATAATTATCTCTATGCAACTTCAATTGATGACCTATCGAAAGCTAAAATATGCTATTGACCAATAAAAGCTCAAATGCATTTCAAACAAATACATTACACCTATAGTACAGTAGACAATTACAAGAACAATAAGCTGACACACCCAAATCCAATTCATATTGATAAATTATGACCCAAACAGATAAAGCTTTCGCAAGGAGTGCTGAAAGACATGCAGCTACTATTCAAATGTGCTTATATTTCTTCGAAACAGCCAAAAACAGGAAGTAGTAATTATTCACGAGGAACACTTTCCTATTCGGAGCATTTCCTCCCTTTTTTCTATTACAAGGCAACATCTATGCATTTAAAATAAAATAAAATAAAATAAAATAAGGAAAAAAATAACTCAAGACAGACCAACATAAATAATGATATTTAACCTTTGGCTCGATCATCTACTTCTAAAGCGATATCCGCAAATAACTCTTGCAACAGATTCCGCCTCTGAGATGCCGAAGCTACTGCCTACAATGTAAATAAAAAGCAAATAGCACCAATCAATCAGTCCAACATAGCGGCTGAAAAAACAACGATTTGAAGAACAATAAAGTAAATCGAAGGGGGGTAAAGAAACAATTATTTACAGAGAAAACGCACAAATAACCACTACTGATAAAGAGAGTGTACGCACACGTTGAAGCTTCTTCTCAATCTCGACGGCGAGCGCGTTGAGATAAGCGGAGCCGCGAAGCGTTGACGCCGGAGGCATTCTGATCTCTATCGTCAGTGGATCGTTTGAAAAGCAGCTGCCCTCATTTTCATATGTATGCGTTAAGGTGCAATGATTTTACGGCACCGTGAAACAGATATGTAAACGTGGCTTTTACTGCGGGGAAATTATCTAAACGTGAGTCCGAATGGAAGTGAAGGTCGGTTGTTGCCGAATTCATGTCTTCCATTAAATTTTTCTTAATTTTTATTATTGTGAGTCAGCAAAGAAGATTGCTTTGCGTGGCCGATGGTCATGGGATGAGCAATTATTTATTGGATGATGGGTCTTCCATGGCTGACACCGAAGCATCTCTTTCCAAATTTCTTTGGTATTTTTTTTTTCTTGGTTTTTCTATGGCTTATTTGGTAAACAATTTTAGTTGATTGCATTAGTTGATTTGATCAGCGGGTTGAATTAGTTATTAACATGTAAAATTACTAATAAGGATATCATCATAATTTATCATCTTTATTTATGTTTAATTTATAATTTTTCAAGAAATAAGAATAATTAATATTTTAAATGTTTATTAAAATGGTTTAAAATATAGAAAATATAAATAATAATAAAATAAAAATTTCTTAATTAATTAGATAAAATCGCATCATATAAACAAAGATAATAACAAGTTATTACAATTTAAATAATCTAAGTCAATTGCGATATATCTCATTACAATTGAAAAATAGTTAGTAAAATTAGTTGTTAAGTTATACTATAATTAGTTGGAATGAAATTTATATAGTTAAATATATCTTCTATATTGCATCACTTATAATTTTGAAAAACTAAATATTATTTACATCGGTTTGAATAAATAAGTATCACGATTTTGATTATTTTTTTTCGTGAAATTGTAAGATATAGAGAGTTGTCTAATTTATTTGTTGTTATTGTAATAATGAGTTGGGCAATTAAGACTTTAAAATTTTTTATGTTGAACCGCTAACTCAAAACGTTACAAAAAGCAGCGTTTTTCATTTTGGCAAATTGGACCAAAAACGCCATTTACAAAAGTTGTTTACCAAACGTTAGTTTTAGCGGGTTGTATATAGTCAAACAGCTACGAGCTGAAAAAGCTCCTTTTCAGCCAAAACACTATTAAACAAACGCAGCTATATCCCTATCCTATCCGTGTGTAATTAATTTTCCATTTCTATTTGTACAGTTGTCAACAACATGTAAACCCAATTCCAATTCAAATAAACCAACACCCTTTTCTTTTTTGTTTCCGGAACGAGATTTTATAAATTGCACAAAGGGGCAAAAAAATCAGCCGAAAGCTAAAAGATACAAACAATAGCTGAAAGATTGGGAGGACAGATTCGAAGATTGCCTACAGTCTACCTAGCAACGCTAGACCAACACACTCAAAACACAATACAAACAAAAATACAAAGCTCCCAAATAGAAGAATCAATGATCCCACCGGCCCGCTCTCACTCGGGCATAAGCACAGGTCAAAAGCCCAAACCAAAAATACAACCCCTACCAAACAAAACAATAAACAAACACAACTAAAACGAAACAAAAACAACTACAACTTACAAACGAGTCCTTCCTTAGCAAATCAACCGAACGGAGCCAACGAACAAACAATCGACCCCAAGGAGAAATTCGCAGCCCAAAAATCCGCTCCTGAAACTACCGAACCGTCTAACTAAAATGGAAATCCAAGCCCCGAACCCAACCTGAGAGTAGACCCAACCCCTCGCCGAAGGAAACCAACCTCTCCCCCCACACCACCATTGCCCCGAGCGGCTAACACCACTAGCCAAAATGGCGGCACCGGTCTCACCCGGATCCAATACCAGAGACACAGTGGAAAGGGGAAATAGAGAGGCGCCTCTGCCCCGGACGCCGAGACACAAACGACGCGAGTCGCCCGAGCCACGCCTAGCCCCCGAAGCCATCGTAATCGCCACTGCAAACACAAGGAGGCGGACGACCATAGCCCACAACTCAGCACCAGAAACGGCGACCAACTGCGAGAGACCGACCCAACCCCCAGCGCAAACTGAGACGAAGGGGCGCACATTGAGGCCAAGAACGTGCGGCCAGGGGCCGACCGCCAGCAAAGGGCCCGACGATTACTGAGGAAGGCAGTCGGAAGAAGAGGATTGAAACGCGACAACGGAAGAGAGAAAGGGGGAATGAGAGAAAAATTAGGGCACCAGTGGTCTAGTATTTTTTTCCTCAATAAACTAACACCTTTTATTAAGAGAAAATCGATTTAGTTATACAAATTAATAAAAAAATTCAATTTAGTTATACTACGTATTAAACAAACTTTAAATAACATAAGAAGTAAAATAATTATTATTATTTATTAAAAAAATGTATGGGACATCAAAATGTCTGTTAGTACAATATCTTTAATTTATTTATTTCTCATTTTAAAAATTACTACATAGATTATGAAAATATTTCAATTACTAGTACATTAAATATTATATTTGATGTGCTTGTTCCTTTTAGATCAAAATTAAACCGGTTGTCACAAACAACCTTTCCAACTTATTTCCCGTAGACCTACATAACACGTCAGGACAGTTCCCGAACGAAGAAGATCTGAAGCTCAAATTAGAGGGTGATATCAATAAATAAATATTGAAATTGTATTGTGCATGTGTAAAAATATATTCAGACTTGAAACCTGCCTTTTATATTGGAAATATTTTCTTATCTAAGTTACTCCTTATGTAGAAAGAGATATTGAAAACATCTAGATTCCTAATAGAATAAGTGTAACGTCCCGATCATTATTATAATATTAAGACGATTTCACTGCTCGATTTTAAAGTGAAATTCGTAAATTTCAGAAATTCAAGATTTTATTAGTTTATATGCTAAATGCTCAATTATGTTAGATCATCCGTTAGAATTTTCTATGTCAAGTTAAGGTCAAGATCAATCCATTAATTTGGGTTGATAAGTGTAATTTAGTTGACTCGAGAATTTTAGCCTCGAACCCTAGTCTCGATCCGAATAAATTTCCAAGTCATTTCTGAGTAATTTTCCTAAGTCATTACCGAACTTTAGTAGCACAATACTTAGAATATTTTCTAAGTGTTGAGCGTGCCAAGTCAAGCCTTGAGCCTTGCATTCTCGAGCCCTAGCATTTTACCGAGCCGCCCGCTTCCAAGAGGCTCGAGCCGAACCTAAGTCAAGGCTGAGCCTTGTACAAGTCATAACCATACATAGCTACATTGTTTCTAAGTGTTGGAGTCATGTTTCAAACCTTGGCAAGTCCCTTAGACGTGCCCCAAGACAATTCACACGAGCAGGCCCGCAGTCCACGTGCCCAGCCGTGCAGTCGCGCGCCCAGCAGGCCTAGCCACGCGCCCAGCCCGTGCAGCCCAGCAGGCTGCGTCCAGTGCTCCAGCGCCAGGCCCGCGCCAGCAAGCGTCAGTTCAACTTTCAAGCCCAATCCATGAAAATCCGGCCCACTTTCACCGAGCCCAATTTGGAGTGAATAAAACCAACTTACCAAGGAACATTTTGGGCCATTGACCCTGGTCAAAGATCCAAGACTCCTCTAGTTTTGGTCCAAGTTAGTGTGGGGACAAAAGATTCTTTTAGTAACCTAGAGTGTAGTAATTGTCCCCTATCCCCTATACCCAATACAAGACCACTTACCTCAGCCGTTGTGCTCCTTGGAGACCACCAAAAACGTGCTAACTCAGGTGGGACAAGACCAAGACAACCCAATGCACCTAGGAGAAAGAGTTGTCCCCATTTTTGTCCCCACCTTGTCCTTCCATTGACCAAGACTAACCTCAGCCCCTTAAGCCTTTAAAAGACAATTCCTTCAGACCCAATAAGCTCTTAGACTCTTGAAAGTTCGACCAACACTTAGCAAAATCAGAGAAACACCAAGAAGACCACCCATAGCCACACCACGCGCGCGAGAAGGTCAAGGAGAGGGAGTACCGGCCATTTTCGTGTTCTAGCCATATTCCACCGAGGCTCAACCACTTTAAAGTGTTCCTCACATTTTTATAAGACTTCTCATCCATCCAAGATCGACCAAATTCATGCCAAGTCAAGCCCTAGCCCCAAAGTCGCGCCTAAACCCGAGTTCAAGCCCTAGCAACCATTTTCCATCTTTGGTGAAGGTAAGCTTGAGTAACCCTTTTCCCTCAGTCATTTTATGATAAAATAGGATTTATCATGAAGAGAAATGAAGCCATGCATGTCATTAGCTATGAGTTTCGAATTTTAAGAAATTAAAGGCTTAAAAATCGGATTTTTAGTACATTGCATGATTAGGCCGAATTTTTTAACTAAATATGCCTTAAAAATCATGAAAATGAAGATGTATAAGTTTGAGCTTATTTGGAGTTCATTTGTTAAGTCAACTTGTTCATGATTTTTAGGGTATTTTTCACCCCCGAGCCATATTAATGTGCATGCAAGTATAAGCCAACATTTTAGCCTCCTTAGTCAAGATTTTTGATGTATAACACTCGGTCATAGTCATTTATGCAAGTTTAAGAAGTTGGTTCGGTGACCCCATGCTCGTACGTGCCTTATCGGCCCTACCGAGCCCTTAGCATTTTTACCCGAGGTCCCATAGAATTTTATTTCATTTTTGTGCCTATGGTATCATGTTGAAGTGATATAAGTTGCATGTCCCTAGTAAAGTCTCCAAAAAGTCGAAAAGGGGCCGGTCATGGTCACTAGCCGCGCCCACCGCGCGTGCAGTGTCGGTGATGAGAGATCGTGCGTCCGATTGCCGGTCGAGCCACAAAAGCGCCTCGGTCACGACGATAGGTTCGGAGGTTCACTCGCACGCCCCTTCGAGAATTAATTGCAAAAGAAAACGTAGAGAATTCTAAAGCAAAGAGTTTGAACAAAGTTCGGGTTTTTTATATATTTCTGAATGATCCAAATAACAAGAGGAAGGGCCTTTGTATAGGCATCAAATAGATCTATTCCTAATCTAGCTAAAACTCTAATAAAGCAATAAAATATTAGGAGTCCTAAACAACCTAGAAAGCATAAAGTAATAAGGAAACTAAAGATCTAGAAGAATCCTAAAGATCCTTGACTTGCACGGCACGTCCGAAACTCTAACCGCCACGGGTCTCGCCTTTGCCCGCTTTGCCTATTGCCTCGAGGACTAAGGCATCCTTGTCCTCGCGCGCGTGTGTACTCTCCTTATTTGCTTCTCCTGATTCCTCGATGACTATGGTCGCGTGCGTCTCCCCGCCAACGCGTGCCCACACGCCCTCTCG